CACCTGTTCACTTCCACCAGACCTTTTCACACCAGCCACACCTGTTCACGTCTTCATTCGTGCTGCACTGCAGACTGACCTCCTTGTGTACTTTGGTCCGGCTCTTGATCTCGGCCACGATCATCCCCACGATGCTTCCTCTGAAGGTGGCAGCGAGGGAGAAGAATTTCTTGTTGGAGGTGATGTCTTGATACCATGAGTCTGGATACCTGGAGACAAACAGGGATCAGAACATCTCCGGCTGTGAAGCCAAAGATACCCGCAGCAGACCCACTAGAAATACACACAATCACTGTATTATCGATAAATAAAAAGTATGAAGTAATTATATTTATATTGAAAATCAACATTTGATTATCATTTGAACTGTGTTTTTCATTGTTTATCGATTGTAACATTATTTGTTCACTTTTACAACTTAACGGGATATTAATTGATTAAATCAAGTATTAGGTCTTTTATATTAGATATTATTATCTACTAATATCATAGGACATTTATTTATTACATAATATACTTTGAACCTCCATACATATCATTAAACATTACAAAGACTCTAAAACCATCTCTGCCCTCCCACTTTGGGGACAAAAATGCACATAGTTGGAAAACAAATAATAAAAAAGAAATTTTAGCCCAGCTTTAGGACAAAGTAAAACCATAAATGTCTGTTTTCCCAATCAAAAAAAAATTGCATAATTAATAATTAGAAGAAACTGAATATATGCTACCCTAAAGTAAAGGCAGGGGCTAACATCTGCACATGACCCCACCATGGAGGTGGCAGCAGCATGCTGTGGGGAGGGCAGAGTCTGTTTGCAGACTCTGCCCTCCCCAAGCAGATGGAGCTTGGCCATTTAAGGCTTTATATGTGAGAAGGAGGATTTTAAATTCTATTCTTGATTTAACAGGAAGTCAATTAAGAGAAGCTAATGACATATTGTGAATTGGCGCTATGTAAATAAACTGAATTGAATCATGAGTTTGTGAGTTCTGGGTCCCTGAGCAAGACCCTTAACCACACACTGCTCCCCGGGGGCCCCACGATGGCAGCCCACTGCTCCCCAAGGGGATGGGTTAAATACAGAGGTAAATTTCTCCAATGTGAGATCAATAAAGTTCAAAATAAAAAAAAAAAAAATGAAATGACCAAACCCTAAACATGCAAAAAGGGTTGAAAGCTTACTCGATGGGGAACCAGTCACCACAGAGCAGTTTGACGTTGTCTATGTCATCGTGACAAAGGAAGCGGAGCTGGACTTCACTAAGAGCTGTGGGAGGCACCACGTCACTCATTCACACCTGCAGGGTTTAAAACAAGAACAGGTCAGTCTGCAAACATCTGTCATGCAAACATACAGCTTCAATACGCAGGAGTCTGAGTGTAGAGCAGGTGGAAAGATCAACTCATTGAATATGGAAACGGGGGATTTTAAAGAAAGACCAACTTTGTTCCATTATTGTTGCAAACAGTGTAAATGATCATTTTAAATCAAACATAGAAATGAAACTTTAAAAACATTTCAAAAAAGGTTTAGAGAGAAGCTTTGTTTTATTCAAATGTATTTTAAATTTATTTCAAATCTTATACATTTTTTGTATACATTTTCATTTTTTTCCCCCTTTTTCCATTTTTATTTTTACTTAAATCTCTGTTACTCAGGTTGAGTTTTACAAATTGTATTTATTTTTAAATTGCATTTTACAGATTCTTGCAAAAAATACTGGAACAGAAGTCACCCCCTAAATATCTGAGCGTCCATGTTTCAACCAAAAACAGCATTTATAAACAAAAAAACATTTAACGATTAGACTGTCAGTGTGAGGAAGTAACTTAACCATAATAGAAGCATCACAGGATTTAATCTGTTAGAGGAAATACTTTTAAAAAATTCAATATTTATAATAACAGGAACTTCCTTCTCTTTTAAATCAAATACCTGTCTGTCAGAAAGAAAAAGTTTTACAAGATAAAGAATGAATTAAGGATGTTTTTCACAGTTTGGCAGAAACAAAAAGATTAATAGTTTTAAAGTTATAAAAATGGCATTTAAGAACGAATTTTCTAACACTCTTTTGTTAAAAACAATCATCCCTTTCCTTATAAAGTCGGTTCCACTATCACCTTACAGAACAGGAGCTGCCTTTATATATAAATTAATGTTCTAAGGTCTTCCTGTTCGCCACCTGGGCGCCGTGTCTGAGCAGCAGGTTAGCTCTCTGGTTGGTCTAATTCTTTATTCTCTACACTTTCTCAGCTTTCCAGAATTTGCTGTCTGGTTGAGGAGCTTTGTTGTGTATCCTTGTGACATTTTAATTATGTAATCGTTAGACCCAGAAGAAAAAAAATACTGGTATCTTAACTTTTTTGATAATTCAGTAATAAAGTTGAAGAAACAATTCAACATTTTATTATTATTAAATGTTATTTATTTAGATTTTATTCAATGCCTCTCGCCCTGCACACTGTGACTTGTTTGCCGTTTAACTTTACTAAATTTGATTTAAGCATTTAACAGATATGAATTCAATTTCTTCATTTTCTGAATGCTCAAAGTACACCAGGATTTTTGTATTATTCATTATGACACAGAACATTTACCTGCTGCCTTAGACCACCCTGTGCCTCTGAAATCAGTCCTAAAGGTAATCAGTAACACGTCTCTGTAATATTGTATTTTCTGGTTGCCTAGATACCTGTTGGTCGGTTTGTAGCTGACAAGTAAATGATGTGAAGGAAACAAAAAGTATGACGTCCCTTTCGGTTAAACCTGACCTATCAGTCGCACAATCAAACCTCAACCTGTTTTTGTTGTACTCATCTACACCAGTGGGTCTGATCACATCAGATGGTTACGAGGCAGTCTGCTGGGGAAGATTCCCAGTCATCCAGGTCATAGACATTCCAAAAAAGTTAAAAAACAACCGACTGGACTTTGCCTACAAGTTTGAAGACGTTTCACTTCCCATCCAGGAAGCTTTTTCAATTCAAAATTTCATAAAATGAGATTTCAATTGGGAAGCGAAATGTCTTCAAACTTGGAAACAAAGTCCAGTGGATTGTTTTTTTAAAGTCGTAGGGAAATCATATTTAAATGTCAAATCATTCTGGCTTAAACATGTAAATA